AAATCAGAAAATTAAACCTGGCTACAGACAGGTGTTGGGATGGTATCGGCCTTCTCAGGGCTGCCTTGCGCCCTCCGGCCCCATCGTTGGGCACACTCACCCATCCCTCCACCCTTAAACACAAGGAATTTCCACCTTCTCTTTGGATGAGGCACAGATACACAAATACAATCTGGAAAAATACTGAAGACAAGATGTGGCCAGCAGGTCGAGGGAGGTGATTCTGCCCCTCTACTCTGCTCTCGTGAGACCCCACCTGGAATACTGTGTTCAGCTCTGGAGTCCCCAGCACAAGAAGGACATGGAGCTACTGGAACGAGTCCAGAGGAGGGCCACGAAGATGATCCAAGGGCTAGAGCACCTCTGCTGTGAAGACAGACAGAGAGTTGGGGCTGTTCAGCCTGGAGAAGAGAAGGCTCCGGAGTGATCTTATTGCAGCCTTCCAGTACTTAAAGGGGGCCTACAGGAAAGCTGGAGAGGGGCTTTTTACAAGGGCGTGTAGTGATAGGACAAGGGGCAATGGCTTTAAACTGACAGAGGGGAGATTTCGATTAGATATAAGGAAGAAATTTTTCACTCAGAGGGTGGTGAGGCAGTGGAACACATTGCCGAGAGAAGTTGTAGATGCCCCATCCGTGGAAGTGTTCAAGGCCAAGTTGGATGAGGCTTTGGGCAACCTGGTGTAGTTGAGGGTTTCCCTGCCTATGGCAGGGGAGTTGGAACTAGATGATCTTTGAGGTCCCTTCCAACCCTAACCATTCTATGATTCTATGTTTATGTACAAAGCCCTGCCCCATGATGTCTGTTCAGAGCAATTAGGAAATAATGATTTTCCCCTTACTATTTTTTTATTTTTTTTTGCCAAGCCCAACCACACAGCTACTGCATCCTTCAGATTAATTTCAAACAAGAAATTAACTCTAAAGTGTAAACTGATTATGAGTACAGGGAAATTGTTAAGCATAAATTACCAGTGAGTTTCAAGTAAAAGAAGATGATGAAATACCTTACTGTGCCTGCCTCATTGTACAGCTGAGGTCAATTTTAACAAGTCCCTTGGATGTCCTTTTATTCTGTGTTAAGATACTGTAAGTTTTCTGTTTTGTAGAAATACAATCAGTGGTCGGACACCTTTTCTTGCCAACAGCAGATATAAGAACCCAAGTTAAAATTTTAAGTCTTTCTTTCACCAGTCAGGGATAATTATGTTAGAGAACAGGAAGATGTGACTCATTATGCTATTGAGGTCAACAATAATTCAAGGACAAAGTAATTCAGGGCTTTTTTTTCTCTGTCTTCTTCTGGATGGCCCTTAGATATGGCGGTATAATCTAATATGACACTTGCTTGAAGCCTGTACTGTGCGTTCATCCTACCACACTTCCTTTTTCCCATTACTCTTCAGAGTTACTATACCTCTTACCATCCCTTCTTACCAACACCAAACTCTGCATTACAAGCTAAGTTTCTTTCTTCCATACCTCTCTCTGTCACCAAGGTTTTTTAACAGGCAACTAAGCAGGAAATTTTCTCTTTAATATAGTTTTATAGTGCAGGTTTTGGTTAGCTCTATCTTAAATGAGACATTAGGAGCCATAGCAAGTGTCTTGCTAACACCATGTTTATGGCAAGCTTTTCTCAATTCAGTAAAAAATGCTTTAGTCTGTGCACATGAGTGACATGATCACATTTTTCCCCTTCTCTCTCAGGCCAGTGACTCTGGGGCTCTGCAAGCAGAGACCTGGCTGCCCCACCACATCCATTCCAATACTGGAATAGCAGCACATTGATGAAAATGTAGAAAATCCACTTTGCCTTCCCAATAACATTCTTCTTTCTGTAAAGCTAATGACAGGCTTTGCTCCAACACTGCCATTTTCAACAGACTGTAAACCATCTCACTCAGCTTACTAGATACCACATATTGCACAGACCTGCTGTTTTGCTATGCTGTATTTTACTACCAGACAGAGATAAATGTTTTTCTCTTTTCTTTTTTCTTTTCTTTTCTTTTCTTTTCTTTTCTTTTCTTTTCTTTTCTTTTCTTTTCTTTTCTTTTCTTTTCTTTTCTTTTCTTTTCTTTTCTTTTCTTTTCTTTTCTTTTCTTTTCTTTTCTTTTCAGAGGCGTGCAGCTGACAATCTGAGAAGACATCATCAATACCAGGTACAGGTCCATGTTTATTATTATTTGAGCAATTATTTTTCTATGTGTCCAAATAGTCTTTAGGAGGGAAAAAGAAAGGAAAAATTTCATGAGAAAGCATAAAAAAAAAAAATACATACTTATGTCATCCTCAGCAAACGATCATAGTAATTTTGGTGTTCAAACAACAGCATTTGAGAAGTAGGATTGTCTGCTTTTGGGGTGCAAAAGGATATTTCCTAGAGCAATCATATATTAACCAACATTTTTTCCACTGTAGCATGGATTGCCTTTAAAAAAACAAATGCATAATCCCACCTCCCTGATGGGATTAATCAGAATTGTATGTACAGCTCACTGACATTCTTCATCAGAACCTGCTCGCCATCTCTCCAGCTCTGGTCCATCATAGACAACTTCCTGTCCCTTAATAACCCCTCTGCCTAGATCCCCTGTAAGCTGTTCTTCTCCATCCTTCCTACTTCACCCTCTGACTTTTTGAGATTATCGTAGCACAAAGAAAAATTTTCAGATTTATTTTCAAATTTTTTGTGTGTTCAAAAGGCTGAAACTTAACCAGGATGGGGGCTGTACACTTGTAGGTTTGGTAATTAATGGATTCTGTATGGGAAACAACATAAACTAGGACTTTTCCAACCTGAATAAGAGACAGCTGTGGGAAGCACAACAGAGATCTATTAAATCATGGGGAAGGTGAACACAGAGCAGCTGTTTACCATCTATCCTCAAAGTGAATACCACACACGTACTACACTGCAGTAGTAAGGCTTCAAGCAGCACTTTGAGGGAAGTGATTATTCTCCTTCAGCCCACACTTGTAAGACTGTATCTGGAGCAGTGTGTTCTGTTTTGGGCCCCCCCCCCACTGCAAGAGAGGTGTTAACAAACTGGAAGGAATCCAGCAAAAGGCCACTAAGATGGTTAGAGGGCTGACATGAAAGGAAAAACTCGGATTTCAGTCTGGAGTAGTTTAAGGGGAATCTAATTGCTATCTTCAATAACATAGTGGGTGATTAGAGAGAAGAGGTAGCTAGATTTTTCTTAGAGGCGCACAGGAAAAGAACAGGAGTCAATGGACATGAATTGGAAGAAGGGAAATTCCATAAAGAAAATCATCACAGTGAGGGTAGTAAAGAATTGGGGAAAGTTGCTCAGTGAGGCTGCAGCATCTTCACTCTTGGAGATATTCAGCACTTGACTGGACATGGCCCTGAGCTGGACCAGACAGCCTCCAGGCATCCCTTCTAACCTAAATAATTTTAGGATTCTTAGAAGTAGAAGGCAACAATGGAAACTATTAGAGAGCAGGGTAAAAATAAGCAAAACTCCAAATGGAATCTTATTCCAGCTATACCATGGAATTCATTGGCAGAGAATTTGTGAATGCTGAAAGTTTATATGAGTTCAAAACCTGCAGGAAAACCTGTCACTGTCCATTAAACCTAAAGCTATCATTTCTGATTCAGAAAGTCTCTGAATCTCGCATCGCAGGAGGCTTGGGAGAATGCAGCTGGAAAGAGCATTATACAACTGCACTTGACTTACACTCCTCATGAGGCATCAGCTCACTGTCATGTTACTGGCATAAGACATACCTTTGGTGAAACCTAATACAGCCATTCTCAGGAGACTTAATATCACTGCTTTCCATTGAAAAGCAGAACAAATTTTCAACCAGATCCAAGATTTATAGATTTTTTTTTTTGTCGTGTTTCTAAAGCAACAAGAAGTCCAAGCAGGCCCAGTGAGCGTAGGTTTAGTAAATAATACCAAGAAAGCTAACACAATATTTTATATTTTTAGGAAGTTATGAGAAATCTGGTTAAGAGGTATGTTGCAGCAATGATAAGAGATGCCAAAACTGAGGAAGGACTGACAGAGGAAAATTTTAAGGTATGTGGTATTTTATATGTTTATAGGTGTTTTAGTAAGATATTATAAGACTGTGAAGCATATTTCTCAAACTGCCCAGTTATTCAGGTGGCATATAACTTGCTTCTTAGAGCAGTGTCTATATCCTGATCAACCACACACAGATCGTATTGTACATGGACACCAGCAAGTCTCCTTCTTTCTTTAGATGGAGAAGTAATGTTTTAAGAGCTAGTTTGAATGGTGCCCATGTAAGGGGACACCAAAGTGGAACTAAGCGTGGCCATATATATCACAATGTTAACATCCATCATCTTTATTTCTAGCATCAAACATTTTTGTTGTTATTGGTGCCTCAAACTCCAAACATTCAAAATTATATTCATCTGCCTCAGCTTGCGCATGCAGAAGCTATAGCCAGAGCATGAGCTAATTACTTCATTATTGCTTCATTCTGATCATCTTGAGTGCCATCACACCGCGTGTACAGGACAGCCAGGTGATCAGACCCAGTCAGCATGGGTTTATAAAAGGCAGATCCTGCTTGACTAACCTGATCTTCTATGACAAGACGAACTTCTTAGTGGATGAGGGAAAGGCTGTGGATATTGTCTACCTGAATTTTAATAAAGCCTTTGACACTGTTTGCCACAGCATTCTCCTGGAGAAACTGGCTGCTCATGGCTTGGACGGGCATACTTTTTGTTGGGTAAAAAACTGGCTGGATAGTCAGGCCCAAAAAGTTGTGGTGAATGGAGTTAAATCCAGTTGGCAGCTGGTCACGAGTGGTGTTCACCGGGGCTCAGTATTGGGGGCCAGTTCTGTTTAACATCTTTATCAATGATTGGGACAAGACGATCAAGTCCACCCTCATTAAGTTTGCAGACGACACTAAATTGGGTGGGAGCTGGAGGTTGATCTGCTGGAGGGAAGGAAGGCTGTACAGAGGGATCTGGACAGGTTGTATTGATAGGCCAAGGCCAATTGTATGAGGTTCAACAAGTTTAACTATCAGGTCTTGCACTTGGGTCACAATAACCCCATGCAATGCTACAGGCTTGGGGAAGAGTGACTGGAAAGCTGCCTGCTGGAAAAGGACCTGGGGGTGTTTGTCAACAGCGAGCTGAATATGAGCCAGCAGTGTGCCCATGTGGCCAAGAAGACCAAGAGCATCCTGGCTTGTATCAGAAATAGTGTGGCCAGCAGGACTAGGGAAGTGATCGTCCTCCTGTACTCAGCACTGCATCTTGAATACTGTGTTCACTTTTAGGCCCCTCACTACAAGATAGACATTGAGGTGTTGGAGCGTGTCCGAAGAAGGGCAACAAAGCTGATGAAGGGTCTGGAGCACAAGTCTTATGAGGAGTAGCTGAGAGAACTGGGGTTGTTTAGCCTAGAGAAAAGGAGACCGAGGGGAGACCTTATCGCTCTCTACAACTACCTGAACGGAGGTTGTAGGGAGGTGGATGTCAGTCTCTTCTCCCAAGTAACAAGTGATAGAACAAGAGGAAATGGCCTCAAGTTGTGCCAGGGGAGGTTTGGATTGGATATTAGGAAAAATTTCTTCACTAAAATGGTTCTCAGGCATTGGAAGAGGTTGCCCAGGGAAGCGGTTAAGTCACCATCCCTGTAGGTTTTTAATAGGTGTGTAGACATGGTGCTAGGGACACAGTTTAGTTGTGGACTTGGCTGTGTTAGGTTAATGGCTGGACTTGATGATCTTCCAGGTCTTTTCCAACTCAAATAATTCTATGACTCTATGATTATCCCTTCAAAGAAAATGAAGAGAAATAGGGAACTCCTGAAGGCAAGTTGCCTTCTTGTGAGACAGACCTTTAAGAGACAGAGATTGAACTGGCTGAAAGCAGCCACCAATGATTAGCTCTGACTTAGCTGCTAGCTGCCGAACATCTAGTGGAAATGCACAAAGTCCTACCTGCACTGCTACTAACCGGGAGACATGCACACATGTGTATGGCATATGCATGCATGTGTCGCCGTTTGTGTATGTGTAAGGGATGGTGTCAACAGTTGATCGAAATGCTGTTATTATGATGGCATAATACTATCTAGCAGATTGACTGTAGGTACTCAAGTTGTCCGTGTTCCTTCCTCCACCACTGTCGGTGATTTCCATGAGTAGTCTAGGCTAAGGCACATTTCCTCTGAAGTTTCCTCTGATAAAGTTGCTGATCACTTTCCTGTCTTATCTGGAAGATCCATTAGACAGACTCTGCAAAGCAGCTTGACAATGTCAGGTGTTATCCAGGTGGTGAAGTTTATTACTGACCCCTAGCGTAACCTTTTTTTTTTCCCCTCTTTTTTAATTACAAGAGGAAAAGTCAAATTAGCTTTCATGCTCTGATGTTTCATCTTTATTCTTAATTTTTAGGAGTTAAAACAAGATATTTCCAGTTTTCGTTTTGAAGTCCTGGGTTTGTTAAAAGGAAGCAAGCTGTCTAATTTGCAGACTTCAAAGATGAACAAAGACACTGCTTCTCTGTCAGAAAATGAAGAAAATAGTGATAGCGAAGGAAACAAGAAAGGAAAGAAAAAGACCTTCAGCCTTTTTGACATAACAACGATGATTCACCCAAGATCAGCCACTATTGCCTCTGAAGCACATAATGTAAGCAATGGCTCAGCAATGATGGTGTCAGAGTCTACTAAGGAGAAACAAAAGCGTGTGAATTTTGTAACAGACATAAAAAATTTTGGGTTATTTCACAGACGATCAAAAACAAACTCTGTGGAGCAGAGTACAAATAAAATATACACCGTTTCTGAAGAAGTTTCCCGTCAACAGGCAGAAGAACAATGTGAGAAAACTGCTGAACTGGAAGAGGAAGAACTGACCATGAACTGTGAATTAAACATCCAAAGTCCTGGTGGAAAATGCGTGTTAGCTGAATCACAAAATAATGACGACTCTTCGGATTCACAGGAAGAAGGAAGCATTTGTGCTTCTGAAACAGAGAAAATGGAGTTACAGAACTCAGAACCAGCCACACCGCAGGATCAGCTGGACAAGGAGCTGGACATTAGCATTGACTGTGATGGGAAACAGGAAACAATTGATCAGGGTGATTATGTGATAACAAGGTTGTGATGCTTACAGGAGGAAGCATTTACAAATATATATATTTTGCATAGTGCTTTTTGGGGGGAATGTTTTAAGAATTATATTAGCAAATGCAGGATTACACTTTATAGTACTCAACTGTGGCACATGATCTTGTAACATAGTAGTCAAGAGAAAGATAATACAGGACCTTCTGTTTTGTAGCCTGCTTTAGCTTTCACGGTTTGTTTTACATTTTTTAATAAATGGAAGCATCTTGTATTCTTGTACTGTTGCAATAACCCACAGAAACTTTTTAGCTATCTTTTTCAATTACAACAAATGCAATTTCTCTCATATGATAGTTGACTCCTATGATGAATATTTTTCTATGCAAATAAAAAGTAGCTTGAGAGACTTGTAAGCCTTTATTTAACTTTGTAGGTTCTTAAAAGATTCTGGGCACCATAATAATCATAAGCAGCTCCTGTCAGCATAATTCATGTCAAGCTATTAGAATCATGTATTTAAATTGTTAGAAACTTGATTTTTTTCAAAAACTATACAGAATCAAAAGACAAAATATATTCTTTTATTTATTGAAGGAATATGAATACCTGTAAATTATGAAAGATCAGTCTGTTTGATTATTTAATTACAGTTTCTCCCTCCCAGCAAGAGGGTTATCACCATCCTGATACCATTGTTAGAAATGCATTTGCAGGATTTGAAGACTGTAAAAAAGTGTTTCTTATAGTAAAATAAATATCTGTGGCTTGCTAAAAACTGATGACGGATTACTTCCCGGAAATCCGTTATCATCACAGCTACTGCTTCTTCAACCATTTATTTTTTCAAATGTGGACAACCTATGCACTTTAATATTCAACTGCTTATTAGCTTTTGCCTTCACAATACTCTCGTTATTTGCTAAGAGAAAGATACTTCAGGAAAAAACAAACATACAATGATCCCCTAGCTTCTTGGAAAAATATGGCAATTTGTTGAGAAGTTTTTAAAGGCAAACCTTAAGAGAGTTTCTTTGACAATTTCAGAGTTTGGGGGAACCTGATTGGAGGTTTTATAAAAAATATTTAGATGTTTAAATGTATAAAGAAAACCTAATAGTATTTTTCATAACTGATGAGTGACTTATTGTCTTAGTCAAAAATAGTATTTTTAAAATTAAACAGTCTGTTTCTTTTTAATCAGTGACTGGTGTCCTACGTTATTAAAAATGTAATTTTACAACTGATCTAAGAATGATCACCCTTGAACTCTCAGCACCATCCTTCTTCTCCCTTGGAAACACATTAATATAACACATCAGTGTGGTCATTTCATTCTTAACTTCCCTAGCTCTGCCATGATAGATTTTGTAGTTCATATTAGCCTGTATTAAGGATGCATAGATTACACTTACATTCCAGATGGAATCCATCACATGTAACTCCCACTTTGTAGGACCTGACCTAAAGCCATACCGTTCTGGATCTAAACTATCCTGGTACTGAACTGAGTTTTGAAAATTCAGACAAACCCCTCTCATCTCTATACTTTAAGGTTTGTTTTCCAGCACTGCTTTACACATGTGCTACTCTCTCTGAGCTCACATACTGAAAGCTTCCTTCCTGCACATCTATTTGTGCCATGGCACCTAGGAGTGAATTAGCTGAACCAAAATGGAAAATCTGAGCAGTAATTGGAAAATAGTTTGCATAGCTTTTCAACAATGTGTTCAAACCACATTTGATTGCTAAGATATGGTTGATTTCCATCTTGGCTTTTTGACTTCTCTGTGGACTCTCTCTCCTTCACGTCTCTCTCCTTGTCCACCTTTAGATTGTGAGCTCCTTGGGGCAGGGCCTGTAGCTTTTCTGCTTGGAAAGCACCTGAATTATTACAAGCATAACAAGAAATAAATAATAATAATAATGGTGAAACACCTTCATATCATTTTTACTAGGTCAACTCTTTTAGAGAGTTTTCTTTTCTACTGTAACATTTGTGCTAAGAGTGACATAGATCCAATATGTCACATGTTGTCAGTAAGTTCTCTATATCCCAGTTAACAGACCTTCTCCACCACTGATTTCCATTTCTCGTTTTTCATCATAGTTGGTGACACCTTGGAGACCTAAGCTTACTACCCTTTTACTCGACAAATTCAAAACAAACAGTCCTTGCTCCAAAGAGCTTTCAATGCATTCCAGTCAAATGTTTTCATTCCAGACAAAATGTGCCTGAGCAGGGTATTTATAATGCCACCAGCACCGTTATCAAAACAAGTTAACCACCATGGGTCTAAGAGCTCTCCATACTATTCTGCCATCATAAGAGCCTGTTTCTCTTGTGCATGGAGTTCCCAACAGGGCAAAAACACAGGACAGTTAACCTGAAACATCAGCCATGCCATCACATCATGACTCCTCTGTGCTGGGAGTCAGTCTAAGTCTTGGAGTAGATACAAGACAGAACAGCAAAGAGTGCACATGGGCAAGATACTTAGGCGTAGGGCCAAGACATTGTATTGCGTAGCAATAAATGGTCAGTCTTTCCCTGTCTTTTTTTCTTTCTTTTACAATCAAATATTGAAATGAAGGTCTATTAAATAAAGCATGCTTCAAATCAACATTTGGGTTATTTTTATGTGATTCTTTGGCATTGAAGCCTGACACCATTAAGGACCTGACCTCTTTCCCCTTAAATTTAATGGTAAATAAGAACCTCATTCTGTGAAAACAGATAAGAGCCCCAAATATGTCCAAATTTGTAATGGTGGTGGACTTTTATTGCTTTGCAGACAGCCAAAAAACCCATTCTCATTGGACACCTGCAAGAGGATATCTGTGCCAAGAAAGATTCAGAGGTGCACAGAGCAAGGTTTGTAATGCCACAGCAGAGGCATTATTAAGCTTTGCAAAGGTGAGCGTACTTTCTCCTCAAGAGAAATAAAATGTTCAAACCTGTCTGTCCCTGCCTGCAGCCTCCATTAGCATCAATATAGGAGGAACACCAAAAAAATAGAATATAAACTCCTGTAAAAGACAGTCCTTTGAAGCAGAGTTTAAAATCATGACCTTTCAAGGAGTTAGAAAATTGTCTAAATAAAAAGGGGTTTAATCCCAATATTAGGTTGTTCAGAATGTTAAAAAGACATTTTTTACATTTATACTTTTTTTAAATTATTTTTTTTTTTTTTTGGTAAGGATAAAACCTGACTGCCCTTTGCATTTTCATCAGCTCCTGGAGAAACAGAGAGAGTACGGACAGCACAGCAGGACTTTTCTACCCTGGCATAGCTGAGCAGGAGCCAGCTTGAATTCCTGCAACCCAGTCCTCCCAAACACAGTAGATCTGAGCCAAATTAGACTGGGTAGGGGCTTTAGCTTCCACCCTCCCCAGGCTGCAGAATGGTTCCCAGTCAGAGGTCAGTGATGCAAGGACTGCGTGCTATACCTTCAAAACAAAATTGCAAAAGCTGCTTCTGACCTTGCATGCTTCTCTGGCCCTCAAGGGCACTGCAGAGGTAAGGGCCATGCATCAGGAGATTCAGACCACAGGGCCCTGTGAGCTGGCTGCAGGCCACTGCACTACCTGTATGTGGTATGATACCACCAGAGAGCAAGCCAGGTAGATGCCTCTCAGAGTGAAACCATGGCTCTGCAGCTAATTTTAATACTGTTTTCTTGGTCTACAGTTTGAGACCATTATATTTTGACTGATGTGAATCAAACACCTCACACATACGGTTTGTATGAGGCACATGGCACACGGCACACACTTTTTTTTTTTTTTTTTGATAGGTCAGGATTTAATGAGAAATTCTATGACTTTCCTAGTCTAAGTTTTTCTTTGAATAAGTAGTGTCTAGTCCCAGGACAATGTATAGCTTCATCGTAGCTATAACTATTGATAGCTGTAAAAAGTAAGGAAATTTCTGATATTTGGGCACCCAAAATTTCTTTAACAGAATGTTTGAAACAAGAATGTCTTCCTTAACAGCATCCTTGGACCGATCTTTCATTTTTTGTGTAGCTTCCTGTGACTAGGAAGTCACAGGACTAGGGCAACCTCATAAAAACAATAGTACTGGTAACAGTAATGGTAGTGGCAGTGATTGCAGGAGTAGGAGTAGGAGTAGTAAATCTAAGTGTAATAATAGCAATCCTATGCATTAAACCCTTTGAAGTGGAACTCAGTTCTAATCCCTCCTCTAAAGTTTGCCTGTTTTCCTGTCAAGCAACCATTCAACACCACCAGTAAGCTCTCCTTGGGGACAGCTGTCCTCCAACATAAGTACTCTAACCTCTAGACTAAAAATCTTTCTTCTCTGCATTTCAAATCTCTAACTAGCTGAAGCTTTAGTTATGGACCCTACGTTCACTGCAGCAGAGGCAGATTAGAGATTCTTTGGGACAGTTTATGCCTAAATAATGGACATACTCCAAAATAAATTGCTGCCATTAACGATCAATTTGAACCCTCCAGATATGAAAAGCAGTCGAATCCCTTGAACAGCATCAAATCAAGTTCACTAATCACTGATTTAGTGCTTGAGAAGTTGCTTTATTTGCAAAAGTGTAAAAGAATGGAGCAGAGATAGCTCCTTGCTAATGTTAAAACAACCAAAAAAAGGTTGTAGCCTTTAACCTTCATGAATATAAGACTGTAAGAGAACTCAGTCATACAATATGCTTTGATTTTATCACAGATCCCTTCCATCACATAATCCTCTTCCTAAATCAATCAAATCGTTTGCTCTTATTGAATACAGTTACGAAATATTTATACACATAAATCATTTCAGCAGTTTATAATCATACCCTTTGAGTAGTCACTATAATTTAACTTTAAAGCTTTTCTCTGACTAATGTTTGTTCTTCTGACTGCGCTCTCCTCCCTTCAGCCTTGGGTTTCTTTGGATGTCATCTAAACCAATTATTCTATTTTAATTTTAACTAAAAATTTCTACTCTCTTTAGTTGATTGTTATAGTTACAGATAAGTGCTGTGCAGCATTCAGTGTTGCACTGTTCAGTACTGCTGTGGCCTTTTCAGTCTGGACTTTAGTTCTTTGTAATCCAATACTCTTCTACTGTGGAACTAAACTGATACATTCAGAGGCCAATGCATCTTTTAGTTTCAAACACTGTCCGTAGCATCAGATTAATTATCTTTGACAGAGATCCTTGCCTCCTTTGTACGTTTTAGAGGGAGTTTA